ACGGCCAGTCCTCACATTTACCTTTTGAATCTCGTGCTCACAGCGTGCCACTACATTACAGGTCTCTCTTAAGAAACTTGATCTAAGATAAAAACCCTGAACACACCCTATGCATTACATCTAGGTCCATAACACAAATACAGTTACTTCAATTAAATTTAAGAACTGAAATAAAAATGCAAACTTGGTGTATCTATAAATCTTACAATCTGTCTGTCCGTCGTCATCCCCTCCCACCCCATATTTCAAAGGAAAGTAGATTGTAGCTGGAATTTTCTGTTGTTTGAGCTTGTCTTCTATCACTTCTTGAAAGATTTGTATCCCCTTACCCTTGGAATGTAAAAAATTTATATTAGAAAAGCTATTGTATGGAATGGCTGGTATTTTTGTAAGCTTAAGAAAAGTTTTATTAATAGATGACAGTAAAGACATATGAAAGTTAATTTTGTGGAGGCAAGATGAGATACTAATTAAACTTCCCTTATTGATAAAACTTGCACACAAATAAAGCACAATTGGAAGTATTTCTATCTTTAACTAAATTTGTCTAGAAAGGAGTTAAGCTTTATTTCAGGAGGCACCATGATACATCAAAGTCTGATACCACATTTCTTTGGCAGAGAAAAATTAACAGTTCCACATGAGAGTTGAAGCAATTACACCAGGTTGAGGCTTTTACTCCTTTGCAGACACAGACTCTCTCAAACATGGAAACTTTATGCACTTGAAATTAAGGCTCCAGTAACAGATTCCCTAAAAAGTAAAGTTAGTATCTATGAGAAAGTGGGGGGTTTGTACATGTTAGTGTTTATATTAACAGTGCTTCCTTCCTTTTTGCAAGCTTCCCCATGAATAAATCTATTCTAGAGCAATCAAAGAAAAGAAAAAATGACCCTTCCCCTCAAGCAGATCCAATCTTTACTCTTGTGAATTCACACATTTCCAGGTCTGCCATTCTGTCAGCTGGAATAGACAAGATCTTAATTAGTGATCTAATGAGCAATCAGAAAAGAAAAAAGGTAATCAGGACATCCTCAAACAACTCTCTCACTTCGCAGTACCTTCATGTAGCACAAAGTAGACAAAACAGGACCCAAGTGACAGCATTTATTCCTTCGAAGGTCACTTTAAAACAAAGAGCTACTGTAGCTACCTCAAAAGCCTGTGAGGTATTTTTTGTGGAGGAGGCAGCCTGAGCTGTGGCAGAAGGCAGAATGACGGCACAGGCAAGCGCTCACCCGGGGAACCACCCCCATGGAAATACACCTTACACTTCCAAGCAAACCTGCCCTACACCCAGGCCCTGCCCGTCAGGTCGGTGCAGTTCCTGGGCTGCAGAGCACAGAGAAAGAGGTGAATACCTAAAGCTCCCTTGCCCTGACAGAAAAAAAATTGAGTTTACATGATGAGTCACCTCTCTCCCAGTACCTCTTCTGTTTGACAACAGAGTTGAGCAGGCTAATGCTGACTTTCCGTGGCAAAATGCCTGACGTGAAGAAATTAAGCTGGCTTTGTTTATGGTGGTTTCATTTATTAGGTCACAAGGTTCCTGAAGTAATCAAAAAACCCACGGGGCTGTTTGAAAATAGCTAATGCAACAGGCACGACACAGGAGAGGAGGTTCCTTTGCAAGTACACACCATTTGAATTTGCTTATTTTTAACTGCAAGAGGACTTACAGCGGCAGAAAAGTGAAAAGCACACAGTAACTGCGGACAGCTCTGCCAAGTGAAATTCAGACTTAATGATCCAACTGTTACCAGGGTCAAAAAACAAAGCCTGCATTTGAAACAAACCTGGTCCTCTTTATGAGGTGGGGTGGACTCAGAGGGGGGCAGCTGGTACTATTTTGGAAAAGTGCTGCTAATTACCTGAATTGCTTCTTCTAGTTCAAAATTTGATTTTCTGCTTCTGTAATTCCATTCTTTTTAAGGCACAGTCTGCTAAATTCCCAAACTGCTGTTTACGTACTGTAACTGTAGGGTTTGCATTGCCCTAGATGGAAGAAATTAAGTTGTTAACCACATTTCCAGTGTTTGGCAACTTCAAAACCCAGCAGAAGGGGAGATGCAAACTAAGGTGTAAACAGGATTGGTAGAAAGCATAGTTAAAAAAAAAATAAATCTAAAGCAAAGATGAGTATCTCCACCTTCTTTTTTGAAGTGGTAGTACTGGCATGTCAGCCACCAGACTGAATTGGAAGGGGAGGCTCCATCTGAGACAGGTTTGTTTGTGGGAAACTACCACGGAGGATGATACAGGTGGAACTGCCTTCTCACAATGCATCTCTACACTGGAAATTCAATTGCCATGAGACCATCTAAGACTAACACTATAAATTCATCCAGAAACGGACTCACCAAATTAATGGAGACAGATCAATCAGTAGCTATTAAACACAGTGGTCTAGGTGCAGGGCTTTTTTACCAAAAGTTGACACGGTATACCAAAGGAAAGATCACACTATAGATCTTTCATTTCTTAAGCTGTTTCCTATTAATCTCTTGTTAACCACTCTTGGAAGCAGGACACAAAGATAGGTCAATATTTTAACCAACTGTGTAGACAGGAGGGCATCTTTACTGTCAGCCCCAAGTTTAAAATAAGCACGGTCAAGTACACAGTATGTGCCAAAGGCAGGCAAACAGCAGAGCTCTCAGCTCACAAGAGAGGCAGAAAGGCAATTTTCTGCATGGAATGCTCTAAGTAATAAAGTATCTTTTTTGTAGCTCTACTAGCAGTAATGAAACCCCCAGCGTTCAGTGAATTTTTGTTTTTTTCTAATCTGTCTCCAAAGAATAAACAGGCCCTGGATTTCACCACATGAAGTAAAGCATAACCCCCTTTTAATGACATTTTAGTCTACATAACATGAGTTTAATAAAAGGAAATTCCTTCCAGCCCAGCCCAGTGTTATAGTTACACATAGTTCATTTTTTCTACTTATACCACAGCCCATATCAATAGACAAAAATTAACCGTATGAACAAAAATATCACACATTTTTGTCCTCCTGAACTGAAGAAAGAGCAAGAGTCACATCAAACTGAATGCTGAAAACTGCTATCGACACTTTCAAAAACATCTACCGTGGTTTAAGAGTTACCTTTCTGATCAGGACAGCTACACAGAACTGCTGTAACTGCAGCATTTCCTGCTTTGGACCGTGGCAAGGCATAAGAACACTTTCAACTATTTTCCTCCTGCACATCTCATGCCACTAGACAAAAGAAACAAGATCTCTAAAGAGCTCAGTGCAAAAGCCACCTCATGCCACATGCAGCTGAAGTCTATTGATTTCTCCAAATGGTGTCCTTCTTGCTGGGGCAGATATGAAAAGCAGTACAGGAAAACACAGTGAAGGTTTTATGTGATCCTACACACCTGACAGATGAACACAATACCAACTGTTGGGAAAAAGCAAGGCACTGTTGGTGTCTACCTTGCTTTGCCTGTGCTTTTTAGCTGAGCTCCGTTTGGGACACGCCGCCTACCGCCAAAGAGCAGAATGTCTACCTCCACCTGTGTTTACACTCGAAATTTTCTACCTTGCTATTTTATTACTGCTTGAGGGCGGACGATAGCTGAAGGGCCAGCACCTGGAAAATGCCCTCTTGCAAGTATTTGAATTAGCATCCAACCATTTCAGCCAGGAAAGAGGTGGGAAGAGGCCCAGCTGTTAAGCCTTTCCAGAGCATATCTGGAAGTGATACACACACCTGGTGAAGCTCTCAAACGCTCCTTGGAGCGTGATCCGCAGTGGGGAAGTAACGCGGCCACCTTCCCTCAGCAGCTCAGCTCTGCTGTGTGCAGGGAAGGGAGGATGCTCTAAAGCCGGGATGGCTCTGGAGTCAGAGAGGGAGCCTGGAGCTGTTCTAGCCTGTGCTGCTGGCATAGCATCGCCCTGAGGGAGCACATCGTCCTGCTAGGCCTTCCTAATACCTGCCAGTTCTGTGCCACTGCAGAGTTCCTTCAACCAGGGCAAAATTCTTCACCACACGTTCTATCCCTGCCCCTTTTTATAGCCTCTGCAGCAAAATCTAGACCACGACAGACTGTCCCCGAGTTGCTTAAAGACAAAGCACAAAAAACTTCACTGAAAGGAAAAAAAAACCCACAACCCAACAGGCTAAGTTTTTTAAGCTGTTCACAACTGTCTGCTGCATGGGTGACAAGAACAGAACAGAGTAAATGAACTTGAAGCCACTGGGCTGAAATTACTGAAAAACAAGAGCTCAGTTGTCAGCGTTCATCAATATTTGTCTCACTAAATGACCGTAACAAAAGGTCTAAGTAGCAGGTTGTCTGAGTTGTTTCCCCTTCTACAAGATCTCAAACTCAACTAAATTACCCCTCTGTAAAATACCACAAGGGCAGAGGCAGCAGACAGGTAGGGAAGGCCATGGATTGCATTTTCCACCCCAGCACTCCCCACGCAGGCAGGAAGACCTGAATGGACTTAGGCAGGCTATTGGGAAGTCACCGAAACTTGTTTTTCTCTACCTTCCCTACTTTCATGTCACCCCAGAGCCATCTGCTAACACCCGAGGAGCACATTGGACTATTTGCTGGGGCAAGCTCTGTCCAGAGAGCAAAAGCCTTTTCTTTTCTGGTTTAGTACTGGTGTTTACACAGACTTTACAGCACAGAACTGCAAGCTCTTTCTCCCCCACCCCCCATTTAGTCTTCTGCAGTTAAAAGGCCTTTACAGTCAATTGACTCAAGCTCAAGGGAGAGCTCAGGCTACAACTTGGAAAATATGAGCTGCCCTGTTGAACCAAACCATTTCACAAACTCTAATGCATGTCAGCTTTACTTAGGGAGCAGCACGGGGCAAATCAGAAAAACCTGAAACATTGCATTAAGGTAAGGTAAGCAACTGATAAAAATGTTTCATTCACAGTAATGACCTCATAGAGCAGCTGCTGTATCAAAAGGATTTGATGTCAATTGACGATGAGTTGTAAAACTTGTTCAATCTCTATCGTGTCTGATTTCAGGTTCAGCATCTGCCCAAGGCCCGGGGAAATGCTTTGGCTCAGCTGCCTTCAATTTGTCTTCATCACCATCATTAATACTTATTTCCTCACTGGAATGAAAGCCGGGATGGTACTCGCTGGGTGAATACTCCGGCACAAAAGCTGCAGTGACTCATCCATCCCCTGATGCCATTACGAGGCACGGAAGAGCTCACACACGCTGTGCCTCCGAGCTGTTTGGAAACTCCACGTCCAGTGAAGGACTTTTTATTGCTTACAGCCCAGCAGCTGTATTTTCACTAAGCAAAAGGACTACCTGAAGAGAAAGTGCCCAGCCAAGGCAGCTGGAAAGAGGCCAGCGCTCGAGGCGCTCTGGCTGGCTACGCACAGCTCCCCTCCCGCCAGACAGCCCCGTGCTGCTGCCCAGCTCACACTGACTTTGTGTCTGCCAGTTGTAAAATTAAGACAAAACGGTGCCAGTTGTAAAAACACAGCTTCTACCAGCCTCTGAAACATCCACAGCAAGGTATGGATGGTATGGCAGGTCAACCTCCAGAGATATTTAGGCTGAGATCTATAGAAAGGAATTGTAAAAACACAGCTTATACCAGCCTCTGAGACATCCACAGCAAGGTATGAAATGGTTCCTTGGCAGGTTCACCTCCTGAGATATTTAGGCTGAGATCTATAGAAAGGAGGAAATTATAACGCTTGGGACAAAACCGACTGATTTTAATAGTATGTTGGGTTGATCTCTTAGATCCAGCAGGAGCTGTTCCACTGCCCCAGCAGCTCAGTCACCGCTGAGTAATAGTTTCATTGCCCTTTGGCACACTCCTGTGAACTTCCTCTACCTGCTGCTGGCCACCTCCCTAAGATGACATTCATGGACACAACTGAAAGGCTACCATAACTACGTGCATTCTTCATTTTAATGTCACAGCTTAATTTTGGAAAAAAAACCAACCCCAAATAGATGCACCAGGCACCTAGGAATCTCCTCTCTTCCTTGCCAAGCAAGCCAAGCCCAGCTACAGCCAGGCACGTTAACCAACATGCTATTCAAGAACCATTTAAACATTTTGGTGTTCTGGGTGTTGCCAATACAATCATCAACTCAACAATGCTGGGAAAATCCTTAGAAACTGTTAGAAAGTAGACAAAACTCCAGTTCTGGGCTCCCCAGTTCAAGAACAGACAAAACTCCAGTTCCGGGCTCCCCAGTTCAAGAAGAGAGGGTACAGCAGAGGGCTACAGAGGTGATGAGGGGCCTGGAGCATCTCTCTTACGAGGAGAGGCTGAGGGACTTGGGTCTTTTTAGCCGGGAGACGAGAAGGCTGAAGGGGGATCTGATCAATGCTTATAACTTAATGGGAAGATGCCAAGAGGATGGGGCCAGTCTTTTATCAGTGGTGCCCAGTAATAGGACAAGAGGAAATGGGCACAAACTTGAATACAAGAAGTTCCACCTAAACATGAGGAGGAATTTCTTTACTTTGAGGGTGGCAGAGCCCTGGAAGAGGCTGCCCAGGGAGGTGGTGGAGTCTCCTTCTCTGGAGACATTCAAACCCCACCTGGACACGTTCCTGTGCAACCTGCTCTGGGTGGACCTCCTTTGGCAGGGGGGTTGGTCTTGATGATCTCCAGAGGTCCCCATGCAATTCTGTGAAAAATGAAGCCTCTCAGAACCAACACAACCTGGGGAAGAAACCATGCTCTTTAAGCCCCAAGAATATTCAAGCCCAGCTAAGTGTCTGGAGGAATCTCCTTACAAACTAAGCCCAGTGCCGCAAGGCCCTGCAGGCAGGAACAGGCCAGCCAGCAAACCATCTCACTGCAAACAGCTCTCACTGCCCAAGCGTTTCATTCCCTTCCCAACACATGCCAATTCCAGTCACTGCTTCCTGGAGAGAGCAGGAAGACATACGGAGGCTATAGCTGAAACTTACCTATATTATAATGAAGGTATATACGCTACAGCATTTCAGAAAAGCTGTCTTTGTTGTTCAAACCTAGAGAAATTATAAAAAAGATGAGTAAAACTTAGTTGCCCGAAGGATTTCATTCCCTTCCCAACTCATGCCAATTCCCATCACTGCTTCCTGGAGAGGGCAAGACAACAGATGGAGGCTACAGCTGAAACTTACCTATATTATAATGAAGGTATATACACCACAGCATTTCACAAGAATATTCAAGCCCAGCTAAGTGTCTGGAGGAATCTCCTTACAAACTAAGCCCAGTGCCGCAAGGCCCTGCAGGCAGGAACAGGCCAGCCAGCAAACCATCTCACTGCAAACAGCTCTCACTGCCCAAGCGTTAAGAATATTCAAGCCCAGCTAAGCATCTGGATGAATCTCCTTACAAACTAAGCCCAGCGCCGCAAGGCCCTGCAGGCAGGAACAGGCCAGCCAGCAAACCATCTCACTGCAAACAGCTCTCACTGCCCAAGCGTTTCATTCCCTTCCCAACACATGCCAATTCCAGTCACTGCTTCCTGGAGAGAGCAGGAAGACATACGGAGGCTATAGCTGAAACTTACCTATATTATAATGAAGGTATATACACCACAGCATTTCAGAAAAGCTGTCTTTGTTGTTCAAACCTAGAGAAATTATAAAAAAGATGAGTAAAACTTAGTTGCCCGAAGGTGATTTTACTAGAGATGACCCTAACCCATACACTTCGATGCAATTAAGATGTAGCCTCAAGAGCATAAATGAAAAAAGTTTGTTGGGGCTGTGTTTGGTTCAGAATTAATCATGTTCTGGCAGAAGACCCGGAATTTCACATGAATACTCATCCTGGATTGTATCACAGTATGAAACCCCATGCAAGTCACAGGGTTAGTGCAATAACATCAGGTGCACCAGAAGCAGGAGCATGTTTTTATTACATTGCAATACAAGTGTAGTCGGAGGAGATGACCTCAGAGCGTAGAAGTGAAAACTTCACCTCTCAGTGATGACCTGAAGGAGAAATCACTGATATCCATCCAGGATTTTGTTTTGCAGTGCATTCCTACAGCAGTTCACTGCTGTTGCTGCTTATGACTAGTCCCCACCACTGACTGCTACAAAACCCCCAAACCCTGGTACACACACAGTTTAATGAAGGCAAAATGAAACAAATCCATATGATCTAAAGTCACATCCACAAACTTTAGAAAACATTAATCCCAGGCTACTTTTGCAACATTGAAAGGAATACCAGTTGCTTGCAACAAAGAGAACGGGCCTCAAAATTGCATTGATTTCAGCTACACCTGTTGGCACTTGAATTTCACCTTCAATTTTTCTCTCCAAAATACCTTTGAACAACCCTCAGGGCCTGAGAAAAGAAGCTCTGCCCTTTATCCCCACCTCACCCCCAGCCCCCAGTTTGCCTGTACCAGGAAGGTGCACCTCTATTGATGAATTCAGAAAGACTTAAGAGGCCTTTTAAGCTTTTTATTTTTTACCCAACATATACAGAATGGATCTGTCCCCAGGTGGCAGCCTGCAGGTACTTCTCCTGTGTCTCTGGGAATTAACTCAAGGATGAATTTTGCTGGTCCAGGGAAGCTCTGAAGCTCCATCTCCACCTCTGGAAGCCAGTGGTGACCATCTCCTCACTAGGCAGGAGCACTCCATTTCAAACACGAGTTGAACTGAGGTCATGATGTAGCAGAATCAGTTTACAGTGGAGTCAAACATCTACTCTTGTATCCAAAGTATGTCCAGCGTGAAGTGTGCTCCTGTGGAATTATATACCTACAGGGAGAGTTTCTTTCTGCCCATAATGGACAGCACACAGACTATAACCCCTCCTGCTGTGTAACATCAATGGGGTGGCACAACTAGAACACAGGAGCTCCTCTCAGGAGATCACCTGCAGTTTTCTGCTAGCTGCTACCACTAACACATATTTAGACTACTCTTTCCTACTGGAGGAGCTCTGGTAAACAAGGGAAGCGTGGTCAGCAGTTGCAATCACATTACACAGGCTTTGTTTAGAGCCAAGCTGGTCTGTGGGCGGGCAGCAGAAGCCCTGGCTACACACAAACTCCCAAGGGAAGAGCCAACACACACATTCAGAGCAGCACCCTACTCATTGCTCTTTGATTTGCGTTTCTCTCCATCCCATACAGAGTCAAGAAGCTGAGACGTTCAGTTCCTCAGAAGCTTTATTTTCATTCAAGCTACAGAAATATAGTACCTTCCCATTTCCCATTATACTTTCTGTGTCTTTGTAGGGCTCAGGGTGAGATGCACTAGGATAACTACCCTGTACACACGGAGGAAGATAAGGCTCAAAAACTAGCTTTACTTCAAAGAACGCCAAACCTCACCTATGAGGCTGGCTCCAATTCCTTGATAACATTAATAGGCACAACATAAGGAAAAAAAAAAATGATCTAGACTACCTATTATAAGCAAAATCCAGTAATTACAGAAAGTCATCCAAAGAAACCTTTTAGAAATAACAGAACAGTTGTTTTCTACTCTGAAAAAAAAAATAGAAAAAATAGATGAGTCATTTTTGCTATATATATGATATATTCACACACATACTTTCAAGTATTGTTTTCACTATTATGATACTTACATGGCTAGAGATAAAAAAGTGAAAGTCCCATAAACAGATTATTATGCCAAAGAAGTCACACAGTCTTATCTGGGTTTAGCAACACCTGGAATTCTCCATGGTTATCATAGCAACCAAAAAAGCAGTGACTAGACAAAGGGTAATTTTTCCCTTTACTAAACATTTTAGTAAGGCTTGAAAAGGATCAGGATTTAGAAAAATGGAAATAGGAAAAGCACAGGCAGTCATAAACCCCCACAAATTCACAGCTAAGCTTGTCACGCGCTCAGTACTAGCAGGGAATAAGGAAAAAAGAAATGTGTGTTATGGTTGGTTAGCAGGCAAACTGACACCAACTGACTGACTTCAGCTAGGATGTGTTCACATTTAAGGCATCACACAAAATAACAAGTTAATGCTCGGAAGCAAAACAATCATCATGAGCTCTGCCACAATTCACATTTAGCTCTGGAGACATCAGAACCTGCTTTATTTCAAAACAGGAAGGCTAGGAGGGCACCCCATGGTCTTTTGGGAAAGTGCCAGGCAGCCACCAGGCAAGAGCAGAAGCGACCATCTTATTTATCACAGGGGAAGGAATTTAAGTGCTTATTAAAGGCTTTGCTGCGGTGCCAAAACTAAGTTCTGGTGGAACACAAAACTGTAAGAGCTAAAAGGCAGAAAGTCTGTTCAAGCAGCTACAGTGACAAGTGTCCTGCAAAGAGATCAAAATGGAAAGTCTTTAAGGTTTAACAGCTTCTGGAGCTTTGAGATGATGGAGAGGCCCAGCAGGTGCCTTTGATAGCCAGGACCAGGACTGGCACCACACTGCCTGCTGGTAGGCTCTGCACTCCTGCTCTCCAAGTCTAGTTTGGATTGACAAGTGAAATTGG